TTTTACACTACATATGTGGTATTCTCTACTTGTGTGGTAATTGTTAAAGTTTTACACTATCTGTATGGTAATTATTGAAGTTTGTACATAGTAATGTTGACCTGACTTTCTGGTGTGTGCCTTCTTAAACTGTTATTTTATTCATTAGGTTGTTTTCGGAATCAGACTACTCCCGGTAGTATCGACACGTTTTTGTCATATTTACCACTTGTACTCAATTAACATAAGTTTTAGTTTCAATCTTATGTCCTACTTACCAAGAACCCAGCCTTGCCACGTTGGTTGAGTAACACCGAGATAAATTCCAAGCAAAGTTGTTGCGTGTAGGAAGATAAATATTGTGACGTTCGTCCGTACTAAAGGTAAATCTTTATCTTGGACTTGCTCTGTTGACGATGTGACCTTATTTGGCATATTTTCTGCTGCTTTGGGAGTCATTTTCTGAAAGTTAAAGACAAAAACCAAACTCAGAAGAGGAAATATGATTTTTTTCTTTCTTCATTGAATTTCGTACAAAGTTAATCGAGGGCCATCTGCGCTAGACGTCTATAATTTAAAACTGATTAAATAGACGGAAGGCAGTTAGCCAACAATCCAATAGTTAGCGCGATCTCTTGGGTTACTCTAATCAAATAATGGGATTGATCCTTACATTATAACTCCCCTTAATTAAAAAGACAAACATATTCGAAGAAGGGTTTCGAACCTGCGACCTGCAGATTGCGAATCGAACGCCCTATCCATCAATAAGGACATCTAAGAGTGAAGATTATCAAGTAAAGCATCGTGTTTAATAAAGGAATGTTGTTACCTTATGTTAAAAGAAACAACAATAAAAATAACAACACGAGTTTAAATAGGTAGTTTCCTTTCTAAAAATGCCCCCTGGTGATTCATCAGTAAGTCCAAAGGATTATCACACTGAAAAACTCCGGTTTTAATACTCGTGTTGGGCACAACATAGGTAGCCAATTGTGTAGCTTTGTGCTTGTAAATAACAACAAATAGATCTTTGTGAAAAGTTGACGCATCATTGATAATCTTATAATTATTTTCCAGTTTTAGTTTCTCCATAACTAAGATACCTTCAAATATACAGAAATAATCACCAATACTTGTAATCAGAATACTTAAATAAACGTTGACTTTCTTCTTATTTTACGTCCATTAATTAAAAAGGTATCTAAAAGTAACACTTCAAGTCTCACATTCATAAATACCTCTTTCGTCCAATGTCTAACATCAAAGCGTCATAATGAGTCAAAAAGGGAATATTTAGGGCTACGGTTGTATTAAATATCTTGTTTTTTAAATTAGCACTTACTATAAGTTTTAAAGTTTTTGTTGTTGTCAGAATTTATAATGTTTCCTACTTTATAATGAGAAAAAAACACTAAGTTGATATTATTTACCAATATATATATTATCTTATAACATAACATACATAATTATCACACGATTTACTCTCTCAAATATTTTACTATTTTTATTTATTTTATCAATCTTACTTTACTGTCACAAGATGTTCTTATCTAAGATTCTCAATATCTAATATTTTAAAAGGTATATTTTTTAATTTCAGAATACCGATCCAGAAAGCTGTTAGTTTCAGAAATTTCGCGTACATCTACACAAATTCTCACGTGATGGACTAAAGGAAAGGGAGGCTAGTGAACAGCATCCATTGTCAACTCTTGGGCTACTCTTATATGACCGAATAACTGGATTTGACTGTTACTTTTATGATGCAACAATAGCCCTAAAGCGTGGAGCGCGTTTTTGTGGCAGTGGGCCGTGAAGTATGGTTCCTCGGATTGACAGTCCGCTCGCGCTAATCTTAAGGCCACACTGGACCTATTTTCAAAGGAAATTAATGAAAACTAGCAGAAATACCAACCCTCTGGACAGGTATAACTGCTATTTCCTGCGGAAGGCTGTTGGGCCTACGACCTTTTCTGTAATTGTCTGACAGTTCTACAACAATGTACTCATACTTGACATTCAATAATGTTCACCATACATGAGAAAAAGGATTTTATGGAAATTTTAGTTTAACAATGAGCTATCGTCACATCATTACATCACAGAGTAGATTTTATTGAAGTATTTCTTTGAGGACGCAGTTATCAATGAAAGTGTCTCGCTTTTCTGTTGTAACACTCATGAAAATTTCACTAAAGAAAAACAAATATTTTTGTAAGTTTGTTTTTTGATTGTTTTATATTTGAAACTATTTCTTTTTGTTTGTAATTTTTATTGGTTGAATCTGAAACATATTATTTGTGAAAATTTCAATTGTTTTATTTATTGCTTAGCTATAAAAATACTGCCTGGTTATAAAAATATTACCCAGTTATGATTGATGATGATCGATGCGGTAGTTTCCGAGATTGAGTTTTGGACAAATACATCCTCATTATAAGCCCCATTATAATAAGATACATCACTCTGAACAGTTTAGATTTATTATTCTTGTTTCTCCAAAAAGAGGACGAAGGAGGAGTCACCTGTTTTAACCACTCGCACCACTATAGAGTAGTGTGTTGTCTGTCAGTCAGTCAGTAGACACTAAAATGACGTCACATAAAGGACGCTTAACGTTGCAATTTGTACTGTCGGTACGCCAGTGAATCGTGTGCATTCGTTGAATCACAAAAATAATTATGTACTCTGTAGGCTACAACATAACATTTCATATGAACTTCGAAAGCAAGAAATAAAAATATTCTTAATTTTGGTTTTACTTGTTCTTGAAACAGAACACTTTCGGGGACCCTGCGCAGGTTCAACTAGTAAGTAAGTAAATATTTTTGAAATATAATGCTAGTAATCTTTATCTGTACATTCATAATTAAAAATAATTTTTCCTTCAGTTTACACACAAATAGTGAGTTGTAAACTTAAAATTTTGATTTTTTTTCTGTAAGTGTTCTCTCCTTAGAAGTCACAAAGCGTTCACACAAGTATCGAATAATTACTTTTAGCCACATCATTTAAATACATGAAAAGTGAAATACTGAATACAAGAGTCAGTCAATCCACTTTTAGTTAGACTTTTTCATTAAGTTATACTAACGTGAGTAAGTTATGAATCATTGTTAGCCATGATCGTAGTTTCCAGTAATTACGTAAAGGCTGGCTATTCTAAAAGTAGCCAAACGTAACAGACTGAGTTTTTATTCAAAACTCTAAAGAAGATGATTAATAAATTTGATAAATATGCATTCAATATTGTAAACAAACACTAATTTATATGAATACGCAGCATTATAAACTATATATAAAATAAATATTTGTCGATAATGTCCACTAAACTTCCGATAACAATCCAATCAAAATTTCAATGTTTGACATGTTCTGTCTTTTAACAACTTCCCATCAACAAATCTACAGATTTTGGTCTTGTCAACCCCAAGTACTTTCTTCTCTACAACACACAGATGAAGCAACTCTAAACTATGTTGTGTTCTGTAGATAGAATGACACTAATCTACTCTATGTTCTATAGACAGAATAACCCTAAACTACGCTATGTTCTATAGACAGAATAACCCTAAATTACGCTATATTCTATAAACAAAATAACCCTAAACTACGCTTTGTTCTATAGACAAAATAAACCTAAACTACGCTATGTTCTATAGACAGAATAACTAAACTACGCTATGTTTTATAGACAGAATAACCCTAAACTACGCTATGTTCTTTAGACAGAACAATCCTAAACTACGCTATGTTCTATAGACAGAATAACTAAACTACGCTATGTTCTATAGACAGAATAACCCTAAACTGCGCTATTTT